TCGATGTCGCTCTGCACCTGGTAGCGGATGATGCTGAGCGCGCGCGTCTTGCGCGGATCCGCGAGCGCTTGGAGATCGCTGATGCACTTGGCCCTGGGGCACTCGCGCCAGCTAGAATCCGCGGCCATCTATTGGCGGGGCAAGGGGGCGCGGCGCGCGGTGCGCGAGCGCATAGCTTCGAGCCTACATGCGCATCGGATCCGCAAACAGCCGCGGCGATACACCCCCCCCCCTCCTCCCTCGCGCCGATGGGGGTCCTTGGACGAGGAGCCCCTGGCCGCCGCCTCATGCGTGCGAGGAGCCCCTGGCCGCTGCCTCATGCAGACGATGTCGAGCCCTGCGAATCCCCCCCCCCCCTAAAACCCAAAAAAAAGAAAAAGAAAAGACATATTTCTCAGAACACCAGTTCGGCCTTTTCTAACATCCACGTTGGGCCTCTGGGAAAATCAACCGAACTAAATAGATAGGGTCTTCGTTTACAGAAAAACCTACCTAAATAGATCGGCTCTGGAAAAAAGAGGCTCTAGTTAGACCGCAACGCCCTAAATACACAGGAAAGTATTAGCATGGCGTGTAGAACTGTCAGCATGCGTCGCCAGAGGTAGCTCGTGAATGCTCTTGACCAAACTGACGGAAATTACGTTTTCAATGTGAATGAAGTTTTTGCTGAGGCACTGAAGAGCCCAGTGTATCATGAGAGATAGTCGGCTCGCACTCGTCATCTGGAGTACTTCCTTTTTGGTCGGGATGTATCCAAAGGCCATGGCATGCCGCCCCGCAGGTGCTGGCTATAAATGCCAACGCAGTCCATGCCAGTCTCTCGAGTGTTCAGATCTTCAATGTACAGTGAGCGTCGTGCGTCACCGCGCTGGACTTGTGCATCGCTGCCCCCAACTCCCATGATTATTTGACCCCTGTCGGGATCATTCCGCGCGGCCGGGAGGTGTCCATTCCAGCCACCCCAGTCGTCTTTCGTAGTAGTGGGACGATGGTAGTCAACCAGATCACCTTCGTCAGAGCAATGCTGACCAGTGGTGGTCGTCTTGGTCCGTTGTGCACAGATCGTCTTGGAAATTTCGGCGGCTTGAGTGATAGCCTCGATGCGCACCCGCCGGATAGTTGGTTCCCGAGTATGATCGGATGTCTCCGTCTGCTCTTCGTGGTCTAGAACATGCAGGTCGGGTAACATCGCGGGTTATCGGCCGAACAGTGCGTTGTCCGGAAATACTTCATTCAAGAAAATAAGCGCGTTGGCGGCAAACAGAGCCTCATGCAATACCCGGGTGAACACAAGTGGTATGTCTAACATATTGAGTTCAGCCGCCACGGCGCAATTAAGTGTCGTACTATGCCAATTATGGCTTTCATAGTCGTAGCGTGTTGTCCACGGGAACGCATCCTCAGCTCAGCGCCCTTGACCTCAAGGACTGCCTTTGCAGTGTCGCTATTGAGATCTTCTCCGTCGGAGTAAAATGCTTTGGCTGGTCAGAATTGCCTAACGCTGTCCAGACCAGCCTTGGTTAAACCGAGTCTCATCTTAAGCTCCTTGGCGTGGAACCACCGCAGATGTAGTTTACGTAGCTCGCGTGTTACCATGCTTGGGTCAAGGCCACGCAAGTTCTGCAGACTGATTTGCACGTCGAACCTTGACCAATCTGAGAGCCTGGGGCGAGAAGCAGGGTCACCCGCAGGTGGTGGTGGAGGTGAAGCACCTCCCTGTTGCCCTCAACATCTGGTTAATATTTGTGGACGTCGTCTTTGGTCGTCCCAGCTGTCGGCGTCACTTGATGCAGGTTGCCCCGCAGTCGGCTCAGCAGCATGTCTGCCTACTGTGACGTCGTGGCTGCTGGCGCCTGCTGTCGGTCCAGCTCTGGAGCCAGGCCTCGGAACTCGTTGCCGCGCATTTTTTTTGGTGGCTGGTGCATCGGAAGCAGCTGTCGCCGCAGGTGGTGGTGCGTCGAAAGCAGCTGCCGCCGCAGGTGGTGGGGCTGCCGGTTCGGCAGGGGCTGGAGGTCCCTGTCCGTGGTTGTCAGGCAGCTTCCAAGGTTTGGCAAACTTGCACTTGCCAGGTGAAAGTAAATGGCCAGGCTGAGCTTTACCATAGAGTTCTTTTTGCAGTTTGGACACTCCCAGTGGTAATCCTCTTTGTCGTGCCACCTGCAGTGTTTGGGGTCTCCATCATGTGACGGGGGGTGCATGTTGACGTTGTCAGCGCATGCAGGACACCCCCATCCTCCTGATGGCGGCCGCATGGTACATCCGTCAGGATGTCGAAGGATAGTTGGAATATCCAAATCGAATCCACGTGTGTTCGTACAAAAGCAGATGACACATTTGGGTGATCATGAAAGGGATCACGACTAACTGCGAACATGTCGTGTGCAATTTGAACTGCCTCAACGCAGAGGGATTGCATCTTCGGATTGCACTGGGCTGCCCTGGCTAACTCCCTGTTGCAAACCGAGGCATGTTAGCAATGTCCCGTGCACCGTTTATTCTCGAATGGCGTTAATACTAGACGGCGGCCGGCCATTATCTCAACGGTATTCGTATTAACTACACCATGGGGGTCACGAAGGCCCGCGGTGCATTGGTCCATGCTGACCTTGCGAGTGCCCTCGCGCTGGGCTAGTGTCGTCCACGGTGGTATTTCATCCACCCAGATACGCACTGCTTGCTCTCGTAGGTAGAACCGTCGGAGATCGTCTGGATGCGCGGCAATCCTCCCGCACAACTCGATGCGTGGAAGGTATTCCTTGTGATGTTCATACCACGTGTCAGAGTTGACCTTTGCGTTGAAGTAGGAAGGTCGCCCAGTTGTTATGTTGTTAGGTTGTATGATCGCAAGATTCACAACACATGCGTCCAAGTAATGCATTACTGCGTCTTGAGCTTCCTTGTTCCCAATGTCAACGTAGGAACGCTTGTCGAGGTTGCCCCCCTGAGGATAAGCCTCGGCTGAAGGCTAACTGCGATATTCCCCCGGCACGTTGCCTTCGCACAGTTCCAGCACGTCTACCTTGTTGTCTCGTCCGTAACACAAGGTTGGGGTGATGGAGAATCACAGCAGCATGCGTGTCCGCAGGTAGCTCCGCTGGTAATGTAATGAAGGTTTCCTTATCTTCATCGCTGTCGCTCATCTTCATCACTGTCGGAGTCTTGAAGAACGTCAGTGCAATCTGATCCACATCCAAAGCCCTTCAGGTCCTCGCCGCAGTCGTCGTTGCCATCTTCGGCCTTCTTGGTTGTCTTGCGCGGTTTGATGCCGGCTTCTTTGTCAACCTTCTGCTTTTCTTTTTGCATTATCTGGGCATATGTGGCAGTGCTGTCTGTTGTTGCTCATTGTCGGGCGCAGTAAGTGTCGGAAATTTTAGAAAAAGGGTAGCGCGCGGCCACGCTCAATCGAGGAGGGAGGAAGACGATCGTCATCGACGGTCGCAAGTCACCCCGGGCGAGGTCGCTGCTCCTCGTTGCCGAACAGGGCTGGGGCCTGAGGCTCCCAGTACAATCGAGTGCGGACGTTAGTTACTCCACTCGGCAACGGTGCATTGTAATTGTATCCGGAAGGTTGGTCCTGAACCTTGATATCCTGGATGGTAGTATGGTCGTCAAGATTCATCGTCACCCAGCGTACCACATGGCCCCAGTGAGGGCCATTCTTAGGAGACTGGACGTAAGTCGGAGCTCCTTTATCTCTTCGAGTGTGTACACTGACATGTACAGCGCTTGTATGATTTCTTTGTAGCTTATGATTATTTATTCGGCCCATCAGCCGCGCAGTCATGATTGCGATCGTTTTGTTTTGCCATTCCGTCCTCTGGGCGCCTTGGCCGCAACAGTTTAACTCAAGTTTTGTTTTTTTCGGCAGTTTTCCCCGCGACCGGGCGCGTGAATTTCCACGGATTGGCTGGAATGCGCGAGCGTGGTTGCCACCTGCAAGCACAAACCGTTCGGAAAACGACTTGAACGATCGAACTTCGGACCAAAGTGACCAGATCGCATTCGCATGACTTGCAGGTAGCACGCATGGGTCCCAGTCTCGAAAAGTAACCTGAAGGTCCCCTTAGCACAAAAAACATACGCAAGGCCCAAGCTTTGCCCATCAGATTCTGGATGCGCTGGCAATGTGGCCCCGCCCGTTTTCCAGGCAATCTCACATGCCAGTCAGCGGGTGTTGCCGCCCATAGCAGTTGAGAGTCTCCCGAAAGTAGACCACATGAGTACTGTGCACCTGTAGAGGTCATAACCTCTGCGTGTGTGATACGATCACACATGTATCCTCGAGCTCGGAGTTCAGCGCAAGCTGATCGTATATCTTCAATGCGGGGAGCACGATCATGATATTGATGAGAGGAGCAATGACGAGGAGTGGGCCTTCTACGAGAGGTGGCGCTGCTGGCGCACGATGCGCCGCCGACGCCTGGAGCCGCGAGATTGCAGCTTCTGCGGGAGGCGCAGCGTGTTCTTCGGCGGCAGCAACTGCGTCGGCATCGCCTGCTTCAAGGCGCGCAAAGAGCGCGCTGAGGCGCGCGCGCGTCCCGCCCGCCTGGCCGGCAGCAGCCCACGAGGAGGAAGCGCGCGGGCAACCGAGCTTCGCGCCAGGCCTGGATGGGGAAGAACCTGGCACGAACAAGGATGGTTGACGCGATGGCGGTGGGCCCAGAGGAGCAGGACCAGGCAGAGTGCAACTCCAATGCGGCCGACGCACGGCAGGCCCTCCAAGAGCGCCGAGAGAGGCAGAGACAAGAGAAGAGGGCCGCTGAGGAGGCAGAGGAGGCTGAGGAGGCAGAAGAGGACGAGACCTGGGGCGCCTGGGGGCCCCAGCACATGCCCCAGAGGCCAGCGCCGAGGGCGCCTCCGAGGAAGGCGAGGGGCGCGCCGCTGAAGTACAAGCCTGCTCCGAAGGCGGTCCGCGTTGAGCTCCTCCTTCGCCTGGCGGCCGATTTCCAAGAGATGCCCCTGGCTGGCCGCGCAGCGCACCCCCCCCCCCCCCGAAGGAGATGAGCTGCGAGCCGCCCTTCGCGCGGAGCCCCACGGAGTGGCTCTTCTTGTAGTGCATCGCGCTGTCGAACTGCTCGGCCTTGCAGTCGAACGCGCTGCCTTTCTCGTCCGCGTATTTGCCAGGGTCGGCGGCCGCGGGCTTCCAGATGAGATCGTCAGGAGGCTCGAGGCGATCGAGCAGGCGAACATAGAGCTGGCGCAGGAGGCTCGGCGCCAGCGGGATCGAGCGGATCAACTTCAAGGGGCATCCGCTCGCGCCGCTGATGGCGGTGCGGCGGCAGGAGCTGCGGCGGGAGTGGCCGCTGCAGCAGGAACGGAGCTGGACACAACGCCGTTCACACGAATATCACGAAGAACCCCGACAGGTTCGATGGTAAGCAGGAGTCCTGGTCAGACTGGTGTTTCTTGTTTCGCAGTTACGTAGCATCACAGGACGAGCGCACCATCGAGCTGATGGACAGAAGTACGACCATGGACGAAGAAGTGGTCATGGGCATATCGTTCAATGACGAGAAAGCCGGATAGGAGAAGCGCTCGAGGATGCTGTTCCACTTGCTGACGGTAAGTATGACGATGAAGTCTCGTGGGCTCACGCTGATCAAGAACACGAAGAGCTCCAACGGTTTCGGGGCTTGGGGACAGCTGATCATGGAGTGCGAACCCAGGCCAGGGGACGACAGGGTGCGCTGCTTAACCAGTTGCTGAACACGACGTTCAAGGCTGGAGTCGGACACAAAGAAGCCGTCGAGACGTGGGGGCGTGAGGTTACCGAGTATGAGGAGCAGGCCGAGGATATATTGCCAGAGTCTATCAAGGCGAACGCGCTGGTCCAAGGGCAGGAAGACGAAATTCTGAAGTCTCACCTGACGTTGAACTCGAACAGGCTCATGAGGTATAAGGACATCAGAAAGGAGAGCATGGACTACATCGTGATTCCGCGTGTTTGGCATCGAGACAACGATCAGGTGATACCGATGGACGTGGATGCAGTTTGCAGCTGGCACGGCAAAGACGGCAGAGACTCCAAAGGCAAGGGCAAGAGTGCCAAAGGTAAAGTCAAATACGGCAGAGGCAAAGCCAAAGGGAAGGGTAAAGAGGACAGGAAAGCCCAAGGCTGCGAAGACCGACAAGTGGTGCGACTGGTGTAAGATGGCAGGACACGTGACGGGGACGCGCAGGAGAAAGAGACGCTGTGATCAGAGGCAGGCGAGCCAGATCAGCAATGCCAATGCAGTCGTTCCTCAACAGCAGCCAGTCCAACCTGGATGCTCGACGTCCACCATCGGCCCGAAAGACCCTGCATCACTCGTGAACACGGTTCCCATTCGCATGTTGGCGCGGCACCACCTGGACATGGCAAGGAGACTGGCGCAATCGACAGTCGGCCCATCATCGGCGGTTTCAGGATCGGTGATGGCACTTCAGCAGGTGAGAGGCACGCCGACCACCATTCAAGAGGAGCGCGCGTGCCCGTGGCCCGACACAGGCGACGAGGGACCCATCTACGCGAGCATGCTGGCGGCCGCAGGTGCGAGCATCTTCGAAGACGACGACGCGGACTACTTGATGATCGACAGCGGCGCAGGCATCATTACTTGTCCGATGCAGTTCGCAGAGGCAGAACCGCATGGCAGTAGCAACTGGATTGTCCCGAAGAACTTGCCACCGCTTGAGGCCGCGACAGGGCAGTCGATCATCCACCGCGGCGCGTGCGCGGTCAACTTCATGGCGGCGGCGCTCGGCCAGCAGCAGGAGATCTTCAAGATGAGGTTCCAGATCGCGAACGTCAAGTGTCCGATCGTGGCGCAGCAGGATTTGCTGGAGGCAGGCTTCGTTCCCAAGTACGGGTTGTACTCAAGCGTGCTGGAGGCGCCGAGCGGACGGATCTTCCCATTGGTGCAGCAGGGCCGCATCTGGCACATGAAGATGAAGCGCGTGGTCACAGCCAGCGAGCCAGCAGTCGTGTTCGCCCCACTACGAGAGCCAGCGGTAGCTCAACCCATCCCAGTCTACCGGGATGGGCGACAGCCAGGGCCAGCAGGAGGCGAGGCAGCAGAAGTTAGCCCAGGAGGAGCAGCGAGCTCATCAGCTGCAGGAGCGGCACCAGCCGCAGCGGCAGCAGCAGCATAACCTGGAGACGCGCAACCTGCTGACCACCTGGAGATCGTTCGCAAGCAGAGGGGCGCCGTCGAACTGTGCGACGGCCCCGGGAGCAGGGCTGCGAGAGCGACGGGTGTTCCAGTGATGCCACCGCTTGCCGAACGTCAACTACATCGACTTACCCACTGGCCGTATCGTTCGTGGTGCAAGGCGTGCGTAGTCGGAGGAGGACGCGAAGAAGTTCATCCCAGGACGGACCAGGAGAGAGACGCGCCCCAGGTCTGGATAGACTACTCGTTCCCAGGAATGAAGGGCACCGATGATGTGATGACGCTGCTGGTCTGCCTGGACTTCGGGTCGTCGGCTATCGAGAGTGCGAACGTCATGGAGAAGGGCGCGGTGGATTACGGCATCAAGGTCCTGGTGCAGGCGTTGCAGTACTGGGGCCGCATGCGCGTGGTGGTGTCGCGTGACCAGGAGAACGCGATCACGGCGCTTGCGAGAGCGGCAGCAACCGCACGAGACGAGGAGACAGTGTTGCAGGTCGGCCCGAGGCTCGATTCCAAGTCCAAGGGTCCGATCCAGGCGGCTGGGGGCAGAGTCCAGCAGCTCATCCGCGCACTCGTGCACGCCGTCAATGCACACCACAAAGTGGAGCTGAAGCCAAGCGAGCCGATCAGCAGTTGGTTGGCGAGGCACGCAGGCTGGATCCTCACGAGGTTTACCGTGAGAGAAGATGGGCTAACACCGTATCGTCGGCTCAAAGGACGAGATTGCCACGGTCAGATCGCAGAGTTCGCGGAGACCGCGATGCACAAGTTACCCCCAGGAGCCGCTGGGAAGATGGAAGCCAGATGGGGCAAGGGCATATGGCTCGGCAAGGCGAACGTCAGCGATGAGCACATGATCGGCACACCACGGGGGCGGGTCTTTGCGCGATCGATCGCCAGGAGGCCCGACGAGAAGCGGTGGAACCATAACCTCTTCATCCAGATCATCTGCACACCCTTCGACCCGAAGGCAACGCTGCTGGCGCAGGGGGCCGTGAACAGGCCGAGGTACCTGACCAAGGGTATTCTCAACCGGATGGGTCGGACACCTGGCTGCCCAGCTTGCGACGAGACGGGCCAATGCCACACTGCGGAGCGCAGAGCCAGACTGGAGGCTTTGCTGGGCGCGGAGGACATTGCGAAAGGCCTGGCAGCACAGGCTGGAGCGCGAGCTGAGGCACCACCACCAGCTCGGGAAGCGGTCAGGAAGCAGTCGAAGCGTGCACCAGCAGAGGAACAAGGGCGCAGAGCAGCAGCAGCCGCGGCAGCAGCCGCAGCAGCAGCTCCCAGCGAGGCAGTAGACGTGGCGATGGATCATGAGGAGGAGAGCGTCGAGCGCGCGTAGTCGGCGGGCTGGCCGTCAACGTCATGCCAATTGAACTGCGCGTGGTTGACCTTGGCGAGTACGCCGCGGTACCGTACGAGGAGAATGATATTTCCAACGTCACGGGGGCGCTCTCTGGACAGCTGCTTCCAGCAGAGAAGGTTCGAGAAGGAAGAGCTCGAGGGCGTGCCAAGATGAAAGAGCATGGGGTGTTCAAGCGGGCTCACGTCACGGAGGCGAAAGGCAAGCGCGTTTGGGGCAAGTGGTTGCAGGACTGGAGGGTGGGCACCGACACTGTGCGGTGCAGGTTCGTGGCCATGCAGGATGCCTACCAGGCGCGCGACGACGCATTCGCCGGGACGCCCCTGCTGAAGTTCGTCAGGCTGGCACTGGTGTTGGCAGCGACGTTCGGGAACCGCATGAAAGTCTACCTGATAGGGCTCTGGAACATCAGCAACGCGTTCTTCCACGCTGAGATGGGCGAGGACGTGTACGCGGTGCCGCCCCCAGGTGAGGAGGGGCCGAATGTAGTTTGGCACTTGCGGAAGGCGCTGTATGGGACCAGGAGAGCGAGCAAGCTGTTTCAGCGCAAGGTCATTGGGACGTTGACCGATCAGGGCTTCATCCGCATGTTGGTGACGGTGATGGTGTTCTACCACGTCCAGAAGGGCATCTACACCGTGGTGCACGGAGACGACTTCATGGCCGTGGGGACGCATGAAGACCTGAGGTGGCGAAGTTCGAGGTGAAGCGGTCGCCGTTCGTGGGATCCGCAGAAGCTGGAGGTGAAGCGACGTCTGGCCATTTCCTGAAGAGGACGGTCAGCTGGACAGAAAAGGGTTTCCACTGGGAGAGCGACGCGAAGCACGCGAGGACAGTGGTCGAGGCCCACGGGAAGCTGCCAGCGGCCAGGGAGATCTCGCCGGCTTCCAAGAGCATCGGGAAGGAGGTGCCAACGGCGTTGGACAAGCTGGGATACGCGGAGAAGAAGCTGTTCCAGTCGGCGGCGCCGACGGCACTGTACTGGGCAGCAGACAGACCTGACATCCAGTTCGCGACGAGCTGGATCATGCGCGGGATGCAGGAGCCACTGGTGCTCCACGAGCTGGAGCTGAAGCGGTTGGCTGCCTACTCAGCGACGCACCCGCAGATGATGTGGAACTTTGAGTATCAGGAGTTACCGAGCGAGGTGACCATCGTGACGGACTCGGACTGGGCTGGGGATGAAGTGACGCGCAGGAGCCGTGGTGGAGGTTTCGAGTACGTCCGGGAGGCGCGCATCGACAGTTGGGCTGGTCAGCAAGCGACGCGTGCGCCGAGCAGTTGAGAAGCTGAGTATGTGGAGATGACCAAACGGTGCTGCGCGGGGGATCTTCACGAAGAACCTGTTCGAGGAGATGGGTCAAGATGGCGGTGAAGGTGTGCGGTGACAGCACCGCCACCATCGGGATATGCTCGAGGCTGGGTGTCGGACGAATCAGACACCTGGGCGTGAAGTACCTCCGGTTGCCGGAGAAAGTGGCCGAGAAAGAAGTGCGCACCGCGAAGGTGCCGACGGCAGAGAACGTAGCGGATCTGATGACGAAGGCTCTGGATCCCGCTCGTCATCACGAGCTTGTGAAGAGACTGCCCATGACTTTGGAGATCGCGAGGGGCTTGCCGAGGCATGGGCACAGTGAGGTTGCAGCAGCTGTGCGTTTCACAGTGATTGCTATGCTTCGTTGATTTCCACGTGCAGATCGTAGCCGAGAATCGTGCAGGTCGAAGCCGTGCAGAGAACAGAGTTTCTATGGTTTCGTTTGGCCAAAGCCTAAACGGTTATATTCCCCCCTAGGCCGTAGTGCTCTGGCTTCCTCCTCCTCCTTCCTTTCCCCTCTTCCGCAGCCTTCTGCGCTCAGAGCTGTGCTTTTTACGGGAGGGGCCCCTGGCCCCTAATCTCATCATGAGGGGGTGGGGAGGATCCCACCCCGCCTGTTTGCTATTGCTCGCCGCGGCCGAGCTGGGTGCCCTGCCTCCGGGAGGGCGCACGGCTCCCGTGGCTGGAGCGGCCATTGGGGCTGCCGTCGGGATGGCGGGGGCCGTGGACTTCGCCCCCGCCGACGGCACCGACCCCGCCCCAGAGCAGGTAGAGGAGGATGTCTGCATGGAGCCTGTGGGCTACATCGTGCCTCCCCCTGCTGGGCACACCCCCGCGGCCTCGCCCGTGGAAGACTTTCCCCCCGCGCCTTCCTCGTCGGAGTTCCCGGCTGGAGGAGGGGAGGAGGGGGGCAATCGGACGGAGGGGAGGACTCCAGATGATCATTCCTGGAGTGTCCAGCGGACCCTCTCCCAGCTGGCGGAGGGGAGGGCTCCAGATGATCATTCCTGGAGTATCCGGCAGACCCTCTCCCAGCTGGACGCATACCTCTCAGCCTGGGCGCCCCGCCGAGCCCCGGAGGCGCGCGGCCGGCGCCGGCGCGCCGGGGCACCCGGTGAACCCCCTGGAGAGGACCCGTTCCCGGGATGGCCGAACCACCTCCTGGACGGCCTCTTGCAAGGAGGGGCATGGTTAGGGCTGATGATGTTCGGGAGCGCCCGCTGGAAGGGGTTCCCCCACTGGCTCCAGTACCTCCTGGTCTTCTTCTACCTCCTCTCCGCCCTGGTGGCCTTGGACCTCCTCACCCTCCTGGCCTATGCCCTGGCCCTGCTCTCACGGGGCAAGGGCCCTCTGCGCAGGAGTGAACACCCGCGCCCCTTGAAGGATTCGAGGCTGGTGTGGGGAGGGCCCGCCTCGGGCGGGACCACGCCCAACAAGTTCTTCCAGGACTGGATCCGGGCCCGCGGGAGGCATTCCAGCCGCCGCCCGCATGAGCTGCTCGCCATCATCGAGGAGGGAATGGTCCGGATGCAGCGAAAACCGGGCTCCACGCTGCCCGCGACGCGGAAGGGAGGGCAGGTGTACCTCTACGGTGCCGTGCTGCACTGTGCGGATCCCTCCCTCCGTCAGCGGCTGGAGAACGCTCGGGAGCGCGCCGTCTACCTGGCGCGGGAGTGGGAAGCGGTGATCCCCCCAGACATTGTGGCGGTCAGCTACCACTTCACCGGCGTTGAGGAGGGGCTCGTCCTGAACCTGGAGAAGGCTCTTCCCTATCAAGGCTTCCTCCTGGGCCTCGCCTGCCTCATCGGCCGCGCCCTTGGCGGCGCCCACCGACTCCTCCGCTCCCTGTCCCGAGCCATCGGGATAGACCTACTGGGGGCGTGGTGCTGTCGCGAAAGGAGGGCGGCAGCCGGAGCGGGGAGGCCCCGGGATCGCCAGCTCGAGTCGGAGAGCGAGGGGCCCACCATCGGGACGTGTGGTGGGGACCGCTTGGGCTGGCGCCAGCCCGGAAGCACCCTGGGCACCCTCGGCCTCCGCGCCCCGTGCCCGGAGCCCCCGGACGAAGGGTTCACCCTCCTTCTGGTCGAGGACGAGCCCCAGTCGGACATTGCCGGATGGGAGCGACTGGGCGGGCGCGTCCTGGCCCCCCTATGCGCTCGGCACAAGCGCATGTACCGGCTTGCCCGCCAGCACCTCCTCTGCGCCTTCGCGGGCCCCCCCTCGTGCGACGAGATCGGGACCCTGCAGGTGGAGGGGGGGCTCCTCTGCGCCTCCCACGCGGCGCAGTCCGCCGGCCCCCCCCAGGGGCGGCCGGGAGAGGGACGGCCAGCCTCCTCGAAGGACCCCCCTCCGGGCCCTCTAACCCCGCTGCCTCCCATCACCCACCCGCGCGATGCGGTTGGCCGCCTTTTCCTGGGCCACATTCGCCGCGAGGAGGACGCCCTTCGGGGGTGTGGGAAACAGCCCCCGGCCGAGCACTATCTTGTCTTCCGGGGGGAAGGGGGGGGGCCGCCAGCAGGCCACCCTCCGGGTGAGGCGGTGGTCCACCTCGCCGCCCTCGGTCTTCGCTACTCCGTCCCGATCGGTCAGATCCGTCGCCCGGGACAAGCCCTCCCTCCCCCCCCGGGAGGGATCCCTGCCTGGTTCGTCGAAGCGACTAAATCGGAATGGAGCGCCCTGACAGAGGAAGGGAAGACCCCCTCCGGAGGGGCAGGCGGGGTCCAGGAGGTAGTATTGCTGCTGAACTCCCGGGAGCTGGAACGATGGCGCCATCGGAGTGCCCGGCGGATGGACGAGGAGCCCGGCCAATCCTCGGGTGGGGAAGAGCACCCCCCACGGGGGAGGAACACCCGCCGGGAAAGCTCACCGCGCCCTCCGGCGCGGGAGGGAGGGACCCCCTCCACCGGCGCCTCCCGCGACCCGTCGGGGGAGCCCTCGGCGGTGGTCTGGCTCCTCGAGGCCCTCCTCTCCGCCATCCAGGACGGCGTTGGAGTGGAGGCCGCGCTTGAGGCGGCCCAGGACTACTACGGCGAGGACCCGGACACCTGCCTGGCGTTGGTCACTCCGTGCGCGGAGGAGTTGGAGGCGACCGCCCTCCGCAACCCCGCCTCGCTGGAGCGGGAGGAGCAGGCCGCCCTCGGCAAGCTCTTCCGGTACGTCCGCGAGAAACGCCTGCTCCAGAAGGTGCAGGAGGGGCCTACCCCAGCAGGGAGACCCCCCCGCCCTCGCCGGCGCAGGCCCTCCAACCTCCGGGCGTCATGGAGGGGATCTTCGCCGGCCTCCCCGAGGGGGAATACCGTGACACGCGCCCTGCGCCGTCCGGCGGCTCGAGCCCCCTCCCGCCCGCCGCGCAGTGGGATGCCATTCATGGGATCGCCCCACCAAGGGGCGCCACAGGGCGCGCCGGGGCAGGGGGGGAAGGGCAGGCGGGGATTTTCACTGACCCGAACACCCGCCTCTTGGTTCAGCACCTCAACCTCTCCCAGCGCATGGAGGCCGACGACTCCAAGAACGTGGAGGGCTCCCTGGGATACCTCAAGAAGACGGAGTGCCGGCTTGCGGTCTACACCGCCCGGGGGTTCAACGCCTTCTACGTCGCCCTCTGCCCGGGCCTCGTCGGAAGGGAGCTATGCGACGCAGCCCGGAGGGGAGGAGACGGACGCTGGATGATCATGCACGAGGGAGGCTGCCCCGTCCTGGTCATGAACCGGATTGCCCACGCCATCGCGGGGGTCTTCTGGGGGGGCCGCGACCTGGGACGGATGGCCAAGTGGTCCCTGGGAGCATCGGACTTCCCGCGGACCACTCGGGAGGAGTTCGAACGGTTCACCCCACACTCGGACCCCGCCTACATGGAGAAGCGCCCCGCCTGGACCAAGATCCTCGCCGTCTGGACCGACCAGGCCCACCGGAGCATCACCACCTTCTGCCTGTTCTACGGCCAAGACCACGAGAAGGAGAGACGGGGCGCCTTGAGGAGGCTGGTGCAGCTCAACCTCGATGGCCCCAACCAGTGGACGGAGGGGGACCTCTTCGCGATCTGGGAGGAGCTCCACTGGGACTGGTGGGACGGCATCCGACTGATCGTCCAGCGGGCCCTCCACGACCTCAGAAACCAGAACCCCACCGAGGAGGAGTTCAGGCTCCACCTCTTGGAGGGGCCGGGAGGCCAGCCGCGATTCCAGATGCCCCTCTCCTTCCAGCTGGACCACCCCAACGGGTTCTTTCGAGCCCGGGTGGTGTCCCGGAAGTCTTGGGAGCAACGGTCCGCCCTGTCTGCCCTCTCGCGGACGAGCAGAGCAATGTGCCACCCCCGCCCCCGGCGGGACGCGCCGGCCAGGACGACAACCCGCAGTGCCCCATCGGCACGGCCCTGGAGGCGGAGGAGCATAAGGCGGCCCTGGGCTCTTGCCCTGCGGGGTGCCCCTGAGAACCCGCAGGGCAAGAGGATTTGCATCCCCTTCAATTGCCATAGCACGTGCTGGCGGGGGAGCGGCTGCCGGGACGCCCACCAGAAGATCAATGATCTGAAGGGCCTCCCCATGGAGACCAGGTTGCTCTTCTTCCGCTTCGGAGGGTTCCACGAGCTCCCCCTCGTGACGCCCGCAGCGGTGGATGCCCGCATGGCTGCACTCCGGAAGGGACCGAAGCCCCGCCCGAGGACCCGCGGCGGGCAGAGCGCCAACCGGGGCGCGGAGACACCCCCGGGGGACCCCCCCACCACGGGGAGGGGGGAGCCCGAGCAGAGCGCCACACAGGCGCCCGCCCCGGGGGTGCTGGCGTGCATTACCTGCCCGCGCCGCACGGTCTGGGACACGCTCGACTTCGGCCAGTAGCTCCACCCCACGGGGCCCCATGCCCATCTCATGCGGGAGAAGCTGGGGCTGCAGGAAGGCGAACCGGAGGGAGGGCAGCGCATGCTCCTGAGCACCGCCGCCTCCTCGCTGTGGCGGCAGCACGGCACCCCCCCT